AACCCATCGGAAATTAAGGTACAAGGTAACAATATCTAGGAGATCCTTACGGGTATCAAATTAGACACATGCACATGACTAAAAACTTAAATGGTGAATAGGACAAGGAGATTCCATGCTATACTTGCCTTGCTCAAAGTTTCCTTGCTGGCCCTAGTCGTCAAAATAGTAGTCTTGATCACCCACGAATTGCTCACCGTCTATACTCGATCATCATAGCAACAACACGCATCTAGAGACAATTATACAAAGCAAACAAGCCTATAATTAGAATAGTGCACCAATAGCATGAAAACAAGATGAAAGGTTCATAAAATGAATCTACGTCTCGCTATGAACACATAGACGACTAAGATCATGAAAATCGGAGCTAAAACGTGAAAGTTATGAATTAAACAAGATTTTCTATAGTAGTTTAATAGATTAAATGTAATCACGAATTTTAAAAGTGAAAAACATGATTAACAATGTAATAAACATGTAGATTACTTCATTACGAACCTAACACAACTTGAACGGATCAAATCGGATCTAAAACGTAGTTTTTATGAGCAGGGGCAAATCTTTAATTAAACTGAACCGTAAATACGCTTTTAAAATTGAGAAGGCGAACTATAGATCTAAACAGAGGCGGTTTACGCTTTCAAAAAGGGAAAACGTAATCCGGGATTGCGCAAAGGACTTTGGGTTTGATTTTGAAAAAGCCGAGGGTCTCTTTACAGAAAGTGACTGGCGAAGGCGTACCGGCCATCCTGGGCTGTTGGATCTAAACTGAGCGGCACAAATCAGATCGATGAGGGAGAGAGAGGCGTTAGCCGGCCGGAACAGTGATGGCGCGGCGGAGCGGCCATGGCCAGCGGTGAAACCTCGCCGTGTGAGCGAAAAAGAGCCCTACGGGCCATGGTTTGACGAACCAAGGGCATGGGGATGACGCGGGGGCGATGGCGATCACGCCTAGGCCCTTTACGTGGCTGGGGAATGACCCACGCGGTGACCACCATGGCCGGCGGTGAGAAATGCTCACCCGCACGCGCGGGGAGACGGCCCTAGAGGCCATGATTCAAGATGGAAAGTACGCGAAACAAAAAAGGGGGAAGCGGGGATGCTCACCATGGATGAAACGAAGGCGGAGATGGTGGTGAGGCGGCAGAACATCGCGGCGGCTCCGGTGACTCACTCCGCTTAGGTTTGCGGTGGCTCTGGGAGCTTGAGCGAGGCGGCGGCTGGCGCTATGAGTAGCAGGGAGGCGGCGGCGGCTCTTGGGGTCCATTTTATAGAGGCGCGGGCGCATGTGGGATAAGGGCCAATGACCCCGCGAAGCACAGAAGTGATGACAGCGGATAAGGGCGACGTCCACCCGATTCGGCGGGAGGTTGGGGATGACCTCCGACAGGTGGACCCGGGCAGTCAGCGGCTATGTCGGACTGCCTGGCGGGACCAGCGTGGCAGCGGAAGCGGGAGGAGGGAACGGCAGTGGCGCTATGCCTTCGCGGTGCTGGGCCGGCCCAAGAGAAGGGAAGTGCGCATGCGGGCCTGCAGGAAAGGGGAAGGGAGGAGGCAGGCTGGGTCGAAAGTGGGCCAATAGGCCAGAATGGAGGGAAGAAAGGGAAAGAGAAAATAATTTCCTTTTCTTTTTTTCTAAGCGATTTTGCAAATCCATTTTCAAAAGATTTTGAAATCCTTTTTAATTTTGGTCAAAACCAATCATCACAAAAATAAGAGTGCAGCAACATGAATGCATCAACATGTATCTAGCCTTATAGTTGATTTTAATTTCATAAAAAATATTATTTCCCTAATTTTGAATGCTCACAAAATGCACAATTAAATCAATTTCACTTATTTTGAAATGATGCAAATTTTAGGATGTTACAGTACAATACACAAGTTTTAATGTGCAACCAAGTGTTCATCATAACCACCGTCCACAGATCCTCAACCAAAGCCAAGCTAGCCCACATATAACTCTAACCTACTGTTTTCACATGCAAGCTCCTTGAAGAGATTTTTTCCTTCTTGGCATTGAGCGGCTTGCATTAAAAAAAGATGATGTTGTTATTGGTCTTCCAGATAACTCAGCAGCATATTATTACCACTTCTCTAAAAACTATGCTCCCAAAGAGGTTTGTTGCAACGAGGATCATATCTACGGGCCGAAGAGTTCCATCCCAGTGAATCAACATTGAATTCCAGCAAGTATGGCTAAAAGGGCACCGAAGAAGAGATGCATGATAGTCTCTTCATAGCCGCAGTTGCATAACACACAATTGTAATGCTTGAGCTGTCTATTTTTCCTCCTCAAAAGGTTTCTAGTGTTCAGTCTATCTCTAAGAAGAAGCCAAAAGAAAAATTTATGTTTGCCCAGTTTGGTAGCTGTTCACATCCATTTGAAGAGTGGTGACACTGGGTTGAGTTCCAAGAGCTAAGTGTAAGATTTCTTTGGTCTAAAGGTGTTGGACACCCAGTTGTATTCCCACATGTCATTAACCAAGGGGTCCCAGGTTCACTTGAAAAAGATGGAGGAGATCATTGAGTTATTCAGAGGCCTGGGTTAATAGGGGGAGACTAAAAATTCTACTTACTCAATTATCCAGGAAAATTTTGATGAAGCAATTTGGTTTCTTAGAAAAAGAAAAGAGTTGTGAGAAGCATTCCTGAAGAGTGTTGGTGGGTGACAAGTCTTTCCAGAGCAAAATTGTATCACCTCTGCTAGGGGAGCATTTTGCCATCTTTCTAAATCAGGATAAAGTTTGATGATGTCTGTCCACCAGAAAGACCCAACAGGGTTCCTTGCTTGAGGTGGTGAAGGGCTGGGTTTGTAGAGGTTGTACATCCTAAGTTAGCTCCACCAAAAGGATATCTACATTTATCAGTGAATTTAAGAAGCAGAGCTATATTTAGGTTTTGAGATCAATGATTCCAAGCCCATCCTGATCTTTGGGTTTGGAGGCTATGTCCCATGACCTAAGCAATAGCTCATTTAGTGAATTTCTCCTCCACTCCATAAGCAATGTTTTCTATAACGAATTAAAGAACAATTTGTTCTGTGGCCCTTGGAGGGACATTGAGGGTGCACATGCAAAAGGTTGACACGACAGAGAACACTGTGTTCACTACGATTAGTCTTCCATGATAAGAGAGGTATCTGATGATCCCCATTCACCTGCCTTTGATCTTGGAGAGCAAGGGGCTGAAATCCTGGAAAGAGGGTTTGGTTGTGCCTAAGGAAAGTCCAAGGTAGGTAAAAGGCACATTGTTTCCTTATCATCGCGCTTTAGAGTCACTTATGACCAAATAGCTACTTGAGACTCTTAATGAATCTAAATGCAAAAGTTTGAATTGAAAACTTTTTGTTCTCTTCAAGTACTGTAACTTTGGTTTAGGTTGTTTCTCCATCCGAGATAATTTCAAAAATTCAAGAAAAAATTAATTACAAAATCTGAAAACTTAAAAACTAAATTTCCAAGTACTAGATGATTTCAAATAAAAAACCGATGAATACAAAGTATCAGATCTCTTCAAGTACTACAGCTTTTGGTTTAGGATGCTTCTCCATATGAGGTCACTTGAAAAATAAGAAAATGGATTTTAAATTATGAAAAATTTAAACAAAATCTTTAGAACCTAAATTTTTTTTAATGAAAAAGGTCATCAACTATAAAGTTGTAGACCTCTTTGAGTACTCCAACTTTAATAAACAATTTGTCTTCATATGACTCGATTTGGAAAAATTATGAATTTTACTGTTCTACACCTATTTTCATAGTTGCATTTCTAGAATTGGGTGAAATTTCGAGACGCCTCTAGAAATATAATTTTTAGAGGCGGTTCGACTTTCCATCCACCTCTAAACATAGAGGGCATTTCTAGCTAGAGGCGGCTAATTTTTTCAACCACCTTTAAAATTCAATTTCTAGAAGCAATCGACTAGCTTAGGTATCATTTTTGAAGACGGTTCATGATAGAGCCGTCTCTATACCGAAAGGACGGCGTCTCTAAAGAATGATTTCTACAGTAATGAGAAATCAATGATTTCTAGATCGAGACTCTTAAGCAGAAACGGGTGTGGCAGCTGTCTCTAAATTTGTTTTGACCCTGAAATGAATTTTTTTAGACGATCCCGGAATGATTTTTATGGTGGTGGACGGTTACGAGAGATCTCCGTGTCCACCAAAGGAACTGGACAGGTTTTTGTGGTGGTGGTCGTTACAAGATCGACGTGTGCACCATATAAAGGAACTGGGGACACTCGATCTTGGGTAGTTGACATGGTACTATTTGGGACTCGGTTAGAAATTGACGATTCTCTCTAAAGCTGTGTCATCCGCGTACGATGGAATCCAATCGGGCTAGCCTAATAATGTTTGTAGTTTTCAATTGGAAGGATGAAAGTCACAACGCGCGCTTAGATTGAAACAGTGCAGGGACTAGTACGTGTTATCTTTACGTCCTTTTGTGTTTGTGATTTGAAACATCAAACAAGGTCGTCGATGAGGTAGCCCAAAAGATTGACGACCTTTAATTGTTGAGAGAGACGGGGCAAAGGTTGTATGGAATTAATCTTTTTTCTTGCACGTCTTTCCCAGCATGCATGTTTCGCAGTACAGTACGACACTGCTCCGTGCCACACCATAGGCTGAGAGTAGACATAGCAACTACTCCAGAGAAACAAAGCCGCCAATCATGGTACACAGGTCACGATCGACTACACCACGCTCGATCGGCCACTCTCATCTATCTCATCACCCCCGATCGACGAGGAATAACGAACCAGTACGCACATACGTCGATAGCCATGGACGGCTTGACGCGAGCTTGAGCGGCAACTATCACATAGGAGTAGTCACTCTCGCGCGCTCACAGGATACTTACGTGATTTGTTGGAGTTTTGACTTGGTGCCCTCTCCACGCGCCTAGAAAACGCACACGAGCTGAGCCAAGGGCTTTTCATGCGCCGTTTCTTGCACCGTTGCTCACCTCTTTCCAGAGTAGATTCGTCCATGGCCGACAACATGTTCCTCGTGACCCAGTGTCACGAGTCGAACCCGGACAGCTTCATTTTGCCGGCCGGTTACGACCTCAAGACGGCCGTTGTCTCCCTGCCCGTCATCGACATGTCCCGTGGCCGCGACGAGGTCCGCCGTGCCATCCTCGACGCCGGCAAGGAGCTCGGCTTCTTCCAGGTGAGTTATAATATCCATCAGATCAAGTCCCTTCTTCCGTTGATTGCCAGCATCACGAGCATTGATCGATGTGTCGATCGTACAAATTAAAACGTGCTGCCCGCAGGTGGTCAACCACGGCGTCTCCGAGCAGGTGCTGCGTGACATGGAGGAGGTGTGCGAGGAGTTCTTCCAGCTGCCAGCGGCCGACAAGGCGGAGTTCTACTCGGAAGACAAGAGCAAGCCCAACAGGCTCTTCTCCGGCACCGCCTACGAGACCCTCGGCGAGAAGTACTGGCGGGACTGCCTCCACCTTGTCTATACCCCTTGCCCGCCGGCGACACCGAGGACTGGCCCCACAAGCCACAGAGGCTCCGGTAATAATATAAGAGTGATTAAGAGTGATAGTATGATGATCAGATCAACAATCACCATATATGCATACATGCTTTGAAAAATATATATATATATATATATATATATATATATATATATATATATATATATATATATATATATATATATATATATTCGTGCCCGCAGGGAGGTGGTTGAGAATTTCACGGTGCGGATCAGAGCATTGGCCATGGACATACTACGGCTGCTGTGCGAGGGCATGGGGCTCCGCCCTGACTACTTCGAGGGGGACATCAGCGGCGGCCGCGTAGGCCTCGACATCAACAGCTACCCGCCGTGCCCTGACCCGAGCAAGACGCTCGGCCTGCCGCCGCACTGCGACCGGGACCTCATCACCATCGTCCTCCCCGGCGCGGTCCCTGGCCTCGAGGTCGCCTACACGGGCGACTGGATCAAGGTGGAGCCCGTCCCCGACTCCTTCGTCGTCAACTTCGGACTGCAGCTCGAGGTTGTGACCAACGGGGTGCTCAAGAGCGTCGAGCACCGCTTGGCCACCAACTCGGCGGTGCACCGGATGTCGGTGGCCACGTTCATTGTGCCGGCGGATGACTGTGTCATCGGCCCGGCAGAGGAGTTCGTCAGCGAGCACTACGGGATACTGTGTATTTTCCGAGTGTGAGTAACACTCGGCAAATAGTGCTACACACTCGGCAAAATCTTTACCGAGTGTCACACTCGGTAAAGTGGACTCGGCAAATAACGACTCGGTAACGTTATTTTACCGAGTGTCTAATATCGGCACACTCGGAACGTTGGTTTACCGAGTGCTGAAATGACACTCGGTAAACAATTATGACTTGACGGTCGTCAGCCTCCAAACTGACCGTTAACGGTGACTTTTACCGAGTGTGATCAGCAGCACTCGATAAATAAATTAGCATTTCGTGATTAAAACAATTCCGCAAATAAATTTTTTGAATAATGTTTACCGAGTGTAGCTCCTAACACTCGGTAAAAGAATAACCAATTTCATGTTCTTGGTCGATTCACATAGAAGATGTTTGCTAGATTGGATGATGAGATTTTTCTCCAACCAGCAGGAGAGCAGCCCGTCATTATATTAAGGAGAGAACAAATACAAGAAAACTACCAGAGCAGGGCGAAACACACCCAAAAGCACATACAGCCCAAAGAAAGAAGCATACAAGAAAAAGAAAAGAAATACTCCCAAGAGAATGTAGTGAAAGGCTGGAAGCCATATTCGGTAGCTACAAATAAAACTGGAAATAAGATCAATTCCTCCAGTAAAAATAAGAATACAACATCAACAGAGGATGTGGATTCCTGCAATATTGTGCAGATGTCAACTTTGCGAGGAAAACAAAAGCCAGTCTGAAACTCGCAGATGCTTAACTCTATGGCATTGCTCAACGTTTTGTACTGGATGTTCAGCCAGAGGGCATGCACTTTGATTATGCTGTAATAACGCTGAATTTACTGGTCCTGATGCAATGCAATGGACTGGGGCTTTGTCCCTGGAACTCTAAAAAACTAGTAATATATATGTGGAATATCTATGTGTATCCTAACAACACCTTTCTATAGGTAAAGCTTTTGTTCATCACCTAAAGGTTTATGTTCCAATTAGTGCAGAAAAAATACAGTCTAACAAAGACAGACAAACAGTTAAATCTTAGAAGCATATTGTACCTGTCAACAGAACTCCAGTAGAAATAACAACTATAATTCCTAGAAGCTTGATGCTAGGATTCTCCAACCTTGAAAATAGGAAGAAACTTTTAGATGTGCATATCATCGAAAACAATGGAGAAGAAAGAAAAAAACGCTCAGAAATGCATGTTAGTTAGGGAGCGATGGTGACCCTTCCTTAAGAAAACAAATGAATATTATGACACTGTAATAAACTTATCACAAGAAAATAATAAATGGATAGAATGTAATCAAACAAGTTAGTGGAGCAGGTTCTATGTGATCCAATGAGGTTGCAATTGCAACAAAACTATCGAACAAGAATAAGTGTTCATCTGTACTCAAAGAATTTTTTGCAAGTTATAATTAAAGAAGGAAGCAGTAACTTAGAGAAAATATTTCATATGAAAGTTATGATAAAAAAATGCTTATTCGAAATTAGCTTACTTACGACTTCTCTACTTAGAAAAAGTTACATTGTACTGCTTGGCATGTCCAGATACTAGACAATTAGTGTGGCAGTGCCTGTGTCCATTTAAAGTTCACACCAGATCCTCATGTGGGTTAAGGGAAGTGTGCGTTTATCACTGCTGTACATTTGAACCACAATTTTTGCTTTCATGTAAAACGTTAGTAACACTTCTTTCTAGCTTAAGACTACCATGCTTCATTAGTGCCCGGCATTGGCTGCTTCAACTAATTGTCTTAAAAAGCTACTACCATATTTTTTTTTTTTGAAGAGTTTTGCACCGCTTTTCATTAAGAGGACAAGAGTTTTAAACCTTACAACACTGACAGTAAAGGTGGCGAGGAGCCTCCAACACCGCCAAGGGACAGCCTAACTACTGGAGATAGATCAGTCATCAGTGTCTTAATTGATTCGCCTCGATCCACCATTCATGCATACTGTTACGACGACTTTATCAGTCGTACTTCTTTAGTGTACTGATGTGTGGATAAGGCATTTTTGGTTTGAAATATATTGCAATGATTTCTAAAATGTGGATCTTTTTTGGTGTCGCTGGTTCAAATTTCCTTCATGTTTTATCTGCATAAAGATGATCAGTTTGGTTATCAACTAGCTTTATTTCGTCTCTGAGAATCCACTAATGCATTTCTCATCAGTCGACACATAACTTCAGCATGTTTCTTTGATGTCTCATGTCCAATCCTTTTTGAACCCAATCGAACATGTTCAATTTAATCGAGCATGTAGATTGGACCACATTTTCCCTGGACTCTCTACCGTGGACCTCGGAAGGGTTACTACCAACTTCGAAAACAAAATATTCCATGAGGCTAATAGTAAGGTAAGCCTATTGTCTCCTCTTTTAGCTGATCAATTAGTATCATTTACATATGTGCATGTGCATTTCAGCCCAGATCGAGAAGCCTTTGCTTTCAATAGGTGTCCTATTCACTTTCGGAAGAAAAAACGAGAAACCGCCGGACTCGCTTCATCCCCTATCCGACATGAATTCCACACGGGCGCGACGAAAGCACGCAAGCAATCCCCAAAGGTCCGTGGACGCCGAAATAGAGCAGCAGAAACGGCGCCATGCAGCAGTAACGGGGCCGCCCCAAGACGGATCCATCCATTTCCATTCCATCGCATCACGGTGCCACCTGACGGAGGGGAGAGGTGGGCAACAGGCAGGTACACAGCGCCGACGGGAGCAGCGGGGTCCTTTGTCGCCACCGGTGCGGCGGGAGCACGACGGAAGGGGAGGCCGCGGTCGAGGGGGGAGAGTGCTCGCCGCCGCCGCTGCTGCTGGGGCCCACCCCACCCCACCTCGCGAACGGGAGCGAAGGAGAGGGAGCACGGGCGGCGTTGGCGGAGGGGATCGCTGTCCGGCTTGCCGGACTGCTCTCTCTCCGTCTCTCTCTCTCTCCGCCTCCCGGTGGCGGCGGTTGTGGGGACCGCCCGGCATGGCAGGGTGGTGGAGGGAGGAGGCGGTCATGGCGGTGGGGAGGCGTGCGGTGTGTGTGTGTCATAAGTGTTAATGCTTGCATCGAAAGTGCCTAGATGTACGGCACTCGGTAAACTCAAGCACCGCAGCCCAATGACATGTGGGCTGGTACATTTACCGAAAGTGCCCAGATCTCGGCACTCGATGAACAGAAAGCATGGCAGCCCAACGTGTGCAGTATGTGTGGGCAGGCTAACCTTTACCGAGTGTTTGAGGTCACACTTGGTAAAAGGATCCATTATTTCATGCAAAATGAAAAGAAAAAATGCCAATTTAATCCTAAAATTCACCAAACTTTCACATGAACTATTTCATGTCATCTATTTACTATCTAAAAAATTCCAAGTTCAAATCATAATGTTGAATTTCACTCTTAATAGAAATCATACTCATTGTGAATGTTTATTTTTTGGGAGATGTACCGGGTTCGGCAAAATGTAATGTAAAAATACTTCCAAAACGTTATGAAATTTTTTCTATAACATAGATGTATGCTTCAATGTTAATTCTTCCAATCTTGTGATTTATCGAGTTCGATTTTAATTATTACAATTAAATTTACACGATATGTACCTAATTTTCATAAAGAATGAAAATTTTGTGAAATATAGTAAATAAATCGAAATAAACACCATATTTTGGAATGGAGTACTAAATATCATATGTGGATAGAGGAAAAAGAATGAAGGGAAAAACAAGAAATTTGGTTGAATTTTACCGAGTGTTTCGCCAATACACTCGGTAAAAGATAGTGTTTACCGAGTGTTGCAGCAATACACTCGGTAAACATGTCATGCCGTGACGCCGTTTGGGGGCACGGTTGCTATCCTAGGTGACGTGGCACCTCAATACCGAGTGGCTGTTTTTACCGAGTGCACCCTTTCGGTAAACTTGTAGTTTTACCGAGTGTTTTAAGTTACCGAGTGTTCTGACTCGGTAAAACGGTCTACTACCGGGTGTTTATGTTTTCCGAGTGTTGGCACTCGGTAAGTACTGTTTTCCGAGTGCCCCGACTTTTGACACTCGGTAATTGTCGGGGCACTCGGTAACTACACAGTCTCCGGTAGTGGAGGATAGCCCAGCGTGCTACCGCACCCTCAGGTTCAGCGACTTCAAGGTCGCCTACAACCATGTCAACCTCGGCTCGTCGCTCAACCTCACTACTAACCTCAAGAACAATCAGAATTAAGGAGATACTCATATGAAACAAACTAAAACCATATAAGGATTTGCCTTCTCCTCTCATGCCAATAAGTTAATTTCTGTTTCTCCCGGATGCTGGCTCTCTGCACAGGCCAAGGATATCTATCACTTCCATGCATCATCTCCTAAGATGTAATACTCCATGTGAGTATCTGCCTTATTGGCGTTGATACTCCTAGTATGTATTGTATTAAGCAATAAAGAAAGCAAGTAATTTATCCTGCAATTAATCTGCTTATGGTTTGAGTCATAACCTGCATTAGGTGGTGGAACGAGTTGCTTTTTCCATTTGTGTGTAAATCAAGTGGAACTATAAAATAAGAGAATTGTTATATTTCAGATGCCTAAACTTTAAGCCGATTTCAGATAATATATTTTTATACAACCAACTAGTATAATTAAATAATTTTATTATAGTCACGTATTAACTTAACAACAATGAAATATCAGACACTTGAAATATACTCAGAACTTCAAGCACTGCCCTCAAAAGATATAAGGCAATTTTGTATCAGAAATCCCAGACTATTTCTAGACCACCCCAATCATTTTATACTTCCTTTCTCTCTCTCTTACATTTGCATTGGAAACATTGTCCTTACTCCATATTCTTCAACATGTCCTTTCACCTATAGATTGACTTATCTACACGTGCGTGCGCGTATATTTTCGCAGGATTGCACCGATTTTCCAAAGTATGGAAAGATTGGGGGTTGAGATGCGGAGTTGTTGGACAATGTTTTTTTCAATCTTGCCAAAAAAATCAAAATTGGTAATGGGTTTTGGGAAACTCTTCGAAATGAGCTTCTCCAAGAGTTTCCAAAAACCCACTCCAAGTCTTGATTTTTTGGTTAGATTGAAAAAAACAGGAAATTTAAATATTTGCCATAGTTGTGGTTGCCACCTTCAATTGCCAACCTTAGATTGGTAATTACACATTTGCCACATGGACATTTCCCAGTGCAACATATTTGCAACTTTTGGCGTCGTGGCAGTCCAAATCAGCCTGCCAGCATGGATCGGGCAGGGGAAAAGATATTCCTGCCCTGGCTTGTTTATGCTCACGCCCGGGCCCCTCGGTTAGCTCATTCCCATTCATTCCCCACAGTCCCCTCCCTCTTCCCCGTTCTCCTCTCCCGAGCTCATCTCCACAGCGACTTCGTTGGCGACTGTCCACTCCGGCAATGACAGTTGCCCTTGCTCATTCGAAGCTGACGGATCTGACGTTCCCATAGGCACTCCCTTATTATGCCATTGCCCCTTATTATACTGAAGTAGGGTTAGGGTTCCAAGGTGATTTTTCCTGCACTCAGCGTTTTTGGCTTCAACTTGTTCATTTGCTGTTGATTCATAGGCGGGTGATGTCGTAGTCGCTCGATATGGATCTGTGACCATGGATCCTACTGGCTACCCACCTTGGTAAGTCATGCTCTTCCCACCGCACGGGTAACAGATTGGCTAGGCTGGGTATATGGCCAACTGTGGAATATTTTTATGTTTACATTCATGCCAG